AATCAACATTGGGATTCCTGTACAACTTCTCAAAGAAGTACTTCTTTAAATATACATTTCGTCATTAATAGCTCTCATTATAAGCAGATTGATGGGATAGTTATGGGTTCATCATTTCGATATATTTTAACTGATATCTTTCTTTGCAAATCGTTATATTGACATGACACATTTGTTATCCTGGATCTGAATATGGATATAAAAGAAGTGTTAAGCAAATTTAATAAAATTCACCCTTTAGTTAGTTTCACTTGTAATGAAGAAAATGTCAGTAAACTACACTTCTTGGATGTCTTGCTAAGCAGAAGAGAAGATGGTTCACTCAGTAGATGTGTTTATAGACAGACCTCATCTATAAGTCTGTATATAAATTCTCTTAGTCAAGTATCCATTCAGTACAAAGCAAACCTGATTAAATACCTCACTAAGAGAGTGAGGAAAATATGTTTGGACGATCTAGTACAGAAGGAGTTAGATTATATTCATAATTAGTTGGTTGAAATGAGGCTACCCTAACAGTTACATGGACAAAGCCAAGGGGAACAAACCTGGTATTATTATCATACGAAAAAAAACCTTTGTTAATGAAATCACAATTTAATGGGCATGTGGTCGAAGAAATTTTATATCAGAACCTGTCTAGAGCCATTAAAAGGACCTTCTACGCCGTAGAACTTTGTCTATCATTTTCCAGTTGACAAAAGATAAAATATCCAGTTTTGCCACTTCTATGTGTATTTAGAAGTTTAGCTGCTCCTGTGAAGAATGCTACACAGAGCTTACTACTAGACAACATAATAGACGTGTCGCTGAGCATTTACCTTCATGGTTGGGAAAGGGACAGATAAAGTCCATCAGAAGCTCAGTTTTATCTCACCTTATTGATAATGGTCAGTTAATGGATAAGAATATTGCTTTCACGATTATACACAGTATACCATCTCATCTTCTGAAACGTATTCAAATTCGTCTTTTACACATAGCGAATGTTGTGGGAATTCCAGAAGAAGTTTGTTCATCGCTTATCTCTCCCTCAGTCACGGATTACTTTGTTAATAAGTTTATCACTCAGTTCTCACTATTATTATTATTATTATCATCATCATCATTAATCTTCCTACCTCTTTTCTTATTCTTCACCCCTTTCGTATACTTCAATGTATTTGTCTAGGCTTTGTTTATCCACTTATCTCGCTAGCCCTCCAATATTATGTGACTTTTATTTTCATAAGCTTTCCGCCCATTTTGATTATTGCAGTGTCTAGTGGAGTGTCATGCTGCTACCATTGGTTTCTATCATCATCCAGATGCTATGTGCTTTAGTGAACGTTATCAATTTCCCTTGGATTTAATTTTTCTGTCCCATACCATCATAACAATGATTTAGCCATTGATACCCATTTCGATAATTTATATGATCAATTAACTTCTCTAGCCCATACCTCTTCGGACAATCAGAGTTGGTTGAAGGCTAAACTAGTTGATATAGATCATCAATTCCATAACCCAGGTCCGAAACAGAGATGTATTTTAACTACACAACACTTCAAGTCCCTGAAAAACTTACAAAGGAATCCTGATGTGATAATTCTTAAGCCTGATAAAGGATCAGGTGTTGTGTTGATGGACAAAGTAGACTAAAACGATAAAATGTTGTCTATTCTTTGTGATAAAAGTAAATTCTTGGGAGATGTTCCATTAGAGGATATAAGAAAATTAGAAAGAAAAGTAACAACAAGTAGTCTAGTTAAACTTCTTAATATGGATGTTATCGCTAAAGCGGAGTTTAATTCCTTAAAACCCATTGGATCTAATTTCCCAAATCTATATGGACTTCAAAATATCCACTACGCCCAATATTGTCAATGTGTCAGTCTCTCACACACAAATGGGCGAGATGGTTAGCCAAATTACTGAGCCCTATTCATAATGATTTATGTAAGTATTCACTGGAAGATACCTTTGAACTTGTTAATTATCTTACTGATTTGAATATTAAAAATAAGGAAATGTATTCTTTTGATGTTAACTCTCTGTTTACAATTGTGCCTCTAATGAAGACAATTAATATTCTTTGTGACTACATATCTTCGAATTATCCTTCTTTCCCTATTCCTTCAACTTATTTGAAAGAACTGCTTTTATTATGTACTGATAAGGTTCATTTCACTTTCGAAGGTGAACACTTTCAGCAAATTGATGGTGTAGCCATGGGGAGTCCATTAGGACCGTTATTAGCTGACGTATATATGTCACATACTGAATTAATGCCCAAGATTTAATCACCAATGTCACACTCTACAGAAGGTATGTGGATGATATCTTTGTAATATGTGACACAGATGAGGATGCCAAGAGGTTGTTAAAAAGGCTTAATACCGTACAAGATCATATCAGTCTAACATGTGAGGAAGAAAAAGACCATCAACTTGCATTTCTTGATATACTCTTGTGCCCGGAGGGAAGATGCATCTATAAGACGATTAATATATAGGAAGTCTACTTGGACAGGACAGTATTTGAATTTCCATAGTTTTTGTCCGATGAAATATAAGAGAGGCTTGGTAAGATGCTTATTCAATAGAATCCAACGTATCTGTACATGTGATACGATGGATGATGAGAATAAGTTTGTGACAGACACTCTAGTGGAAAACGGTTATCCATTACAGTTTGTCAACCGTTGTAAAAAACAGTTGACCCCAAAGCCTACAGTTTCCTCGGTCCCAAAGTAAAGCATATTTCTTAAAGTACCATACAGAGGGGGAACAAGTAGTATGATATTGAAGTAGGGATTAAAATCTGTTATCAGTGAAACATACTATGCAGCTCAGCTTATCGTTGTTGAGACGACAAAACACCTGCTTCATCACAAACCTCAACCTCGCACAAATGATTACATCACATCCTACTGCGTTTACCAATTTACATGTATATGTGGGCACACATACATAGGGAGGAGTAACCGTTCAATGCAGACTAGTGTGGGTGAACACATCCCGAAATGGCTAGAAAAACAGTTTAACACACAAACATTGATAAGTGCAGGTGACAGACATCGTCATCTATAGCAAAACATCTTCATTGAAATGAATCGCATGGTTAATACGAAAACAGCGTTTAGGATAATATACAGGAATAATCAGGGGCGCATACTGAAATTTCTTGAAGCGATAGCCATTCGTAAACTTAAGCCCCCAGCTGTGTGTACAAAAGCAATTTGTTGTTTCACTTAATTTACCTTGGTAATCCTTGATAATCTGATTCTATTATCAAGACTAGTGTCACAACCTTTTCATATTCACTATATTTGACCTATATTTGACCTGACCTCGCCTGGTTAACTAGTTCACTAGTTACTAGCCGGTCCTAAGCCCGGATAAAGAGGGAAACTTGGGCATAGGGCTAGCAACCCTACCACGTAAAACAAATCTAACCACTAAAGAAACTCCAAAGCACAAACGAAATATAAAAAATAAAAACAAAATTATTCCTCGCTGGAATCGGAGAGGCGAAATGACGCCAGTTGGTGAAAGCCTTCGGGAGGCCAATTGGCCGATGTGTCTCCTATTCACTCTATGAAAGCGAAAGTAAACGTGGAGACATGGAATGTCCGTACGATGTTTGAACCCAGCAAGGCAGCCCAGATTGCAAAAGAGATGACGTGCTACTGAAGCCCAATGTTCCACTGGGAACCCAAGGGACTAATAATAATAATAATAATAATAATAAATATTTGACGTTTAATTTTCATATATAAATTGACTTGACAAGTAAATGTGTGTGATCAGATTGTTCGAAATGTATTGCGCAAATACACATGACACATATTTCAGATAATCTTCGTCTTCTAATAGCGTTATCAAAATTTAATAAAGGGACTAATTGTTTCAAATTATTATTAGTATTATTATCTCCATCGTTATTCGTTAAAACGTTCATCATTTCAACCGACAAATCTACGTGATTGGTTTACCTTTAAATATATATATATATATATATATATATATATATATATATATATATATATATATATATATATATAAGGCTACTTGTTAAGCAACAAGGAACTCTGGGAACGAACCAACCAAGAACCTATCACGCAACAAATATGCAGGAGGAAGTGGAGATGGATTGGGCATGCACTGAGAATGCCGACTGAGGACATCACGCGTCAGGTTCTCGAGTAGAATCTTTATGGGAAGCGACTAGTTGGACGTCCCAGCTGAGGGTGACATGGAGGAGGTCGTGCGAGGAGGAAATGAGAACTTCTGGGCTATCGTGGAACCAGGTTCGAAAGATCTTAGAGAACATAGGTCACTGGAGACGTGCTACTGAAGCCTTATGTTCCACTAGGAACCCAAGGGACTAATAATAATAATAATAAAGTGAAGCCTGAAGAGGATCTAATTGAAGACAATATTTTTCGCTTATATATTTCTTGTTCTAATTTACATGATGGAAACTTTCAAAACTCTGAAGCAATGTGCTATCTACCTTAAAAATATGCTACATGGATGACATTCATCTCATGTAACCATCAGTGGAATTAACACCAATCAAATATATAACAGATTATACTTGATCTATATATATTTACAGTATATACCTCCCTCTCAGTTTTGCTTACGATTTTCATGCGTTGAGGATATATAGTTGAGAAGTTTGTGTAAATTACATTATATGGAGGTAGAATAAAACAACTGATGCGAATAAAGTAAGTTCGTCTGTGCATGAATTCATTACACATTAATATGTGTGAAGAGATCTCCTCTACAATATGATTTTGTGTTTACCTCTCTAACATTCTTTAACGAAGTCCATTTTGGAGGCATCGAAATGAACAGAGAAACATGTTCAATTATCTAGTTTCATCAGTTATAATCCTTGTATAGATCTCCTGTAATAAACTCCACAGTGCAATAATTTTACTTGCCTTGTCATGGATTTCTTCTTTTAGGGAAATTATATCTTACATATACTATATAAATTTCACTCACCTTGTTGTTGGATTTCAATCGTCGGCGCAGACTCTTGATCTAGTAAACACAAAATATATAGTGTCATGTGTGAACCTGTTAACTATTTCCAATAAATTTCGATTTCGGAATGATTTGACGTCTTTTTGGAATGACTGCACCCCACCATTGTGTTCAGAATTCATATTTGTGTTTGACATATATGTATGTGAAGAAAGACTTGGATAATATTCATGAATAAAACTCTACTACTAGCCAGAATGTTCCGACTTCAGTCTATCCACCTATTCATCCGCGTCCTACAACATCTTGATACAACTAGTTTCAGTCAGTCACCCAAAGTCAACTTCACCTCCCTATGTCACCCACTTATCTGAAGGCAGCGCTATTGCGTATTTCATTCCCCTTGAGTATTTATTGTATAATCGATGGGAGAATTAAGGGTGTGGGCAAGGCAGTATGAAATTCACCTTTATAATCTCAACTAAAATCTACTAATGTGCACCGTGATGCTGAGCTTCCTAGCTTGATTGCCACATTGCAAATATGATCGACAGAATTCGATCTGCACTCAGGACTAAACAACATGAAATTGGTTCCACTCCCGTGACCAAACAATACAGGTAAGCCAGTCGTACAGGAGGTTAGTCGCCTCCCGAATAGCTCAGTGGTAAAGTCGCTGACTACAACACTGAGTGACGTGGATTCGAATCCCAGGCGGGACATCAGTTCCGTCAAGACAGAGCTTCCTGCCGATTGCCTTCAATCAACTAAAATCTCACACTTCATTGTACCAGAAATGGAAAGAAATCAGCCAGTGAACATGTATTTATACAACTAACCAGGATAGAAGCGACTACTGCAATCGAACGCTTCACTATATGCTGAATGATTTCATCTCAGATAACAAGGTGACTTGTCAGCTCATTTCGACAGATCAAGCAGATAATGAAGACAATCGCATTCTTTGGTGTATTTCGATACGATATGTAAATGATTGTACAATAGGGAAGTACAAATCATCACTAAAATATGGTATGACCATTGTCATAACCTGAATACAGGCCTTTAGTAAGGTGTCAGTTGTGGATTATCCCCAAGATTCGTTATGAAATTGTATCAATCTGAGACAGGTTTAACAGAAATGCAAACAAATTTGAATTGCTAACTCACAAGTTCTGCGTGTTCGACGTTTTGCCTGACCATCATGTTTAATGTCTGAAATTGTGTAATAAACACAAAAGTTTCACATACAAACTGGACCGTCAACTAGATGTCAGTGGTTTCTTCACAGATCAGACATCTCCGTCTACCCTCATGAATACAACGATCTATGTTCTCGCACATAGATCGCATTCAAACACAGTTCACTTCCATCATACCAGGTTCATCGTTTGACGAAGAGTGATGCGTCATCAAGACGGGTAAAATGGATTAGAAGAATTTTTCTGAAGTTCTCCAGTGTATTTGTGCTGAGAGACTTCTCTCATACAAACATTTGCTTGTCTATTTCTCATCTCGAGCTTACAGTGCGTTCGATATTCTATAACAGTGTTATGCTTTCACACATAAACCACACTTATCCATCACGAATATGCACAACGAACTCGCTTTTCCATTCTGTTTGGCAGCTGCATACACAATAATCAACAATGATCACTGAGTGATGTACTCGTCGAGATATAGGATGTGGACGATTGAGTACAATGTATGCACTTCCACATCTCAAGGGAATGACTCACTATCAGCCTGACGATCAACACAATAAGAAATATGTTTTCAGCCTACATATAACCTCAGTAAATCTGTCTCAAACTATCCATTCATATGACGGACAAACAACTATCAATCACAACACACTTCAATAAACTGTAACAGACAGGCGTGATGTCATGCTTCAGTATATATGGATTTACAATGCATGAAAATTATTTAACTTACCGATGACTGGAACTGCAGTGCCTAGAGTGAGGAGAGTGAGTGAAGGAATTGTGCAGACAGAGAGGGAGAGAGAGAGAGATGGGAGGAGAACCGAATGGGGTGAATTGGATATTTCAAGATTTCACAGAAACACTGATTTTATCATATGATGAATGTGTGCCGAGATGAGAATTCGAAGGTGACTTGTGTCACACACTCTCAACTAATGTCAATTATACTAGTCAGATTTGTGGTCGGTGAAGGGTTACAAATAAGCCTCTCTCTCTCTCTCGAGACAGTGAGAGAGAGAGAGAGAGTAAGTGACTGAACATCACTAATCACATTGCAATTGGGTCAGATGTGTTCTGTAATCACACATGTGTCTTCACAGCAGGTTCGAGTCTCACCTCACTGTGTGACAGTGGAATCCATGATTCCCACACTGCTTCAGTCTTCCTTCTATCATCCTCTTCACACTGCTTCATCCACACACATATCAGTGAAGATGAATGTCTATTTCACACACACACACACACACACACACACACACACACACACACAATGACTACGTTTGCTAGTCAGTGAATGACTGACTGTGATTTGAAGTATCCGACAATATGGAATGAGGAGTGTGGAATCTCCATTATGGTATGCGTGTGACAGATGAATTGCTGTTGGATGAATGTGTGTGTGTGTGTGTGTGTGTGTGTAGCTGGTAAACAGGAGGAAATTGAGATACTCCTTCACATCTGGGAACTGCCTTCTCTGAAGAGATACATTTCATGAATGAATTTCACGTTGCTTCCAGCCTTTATTCACCTCATTTACTTTCGATAAAGAAGATAGGGTAAATATGTTTATTCTTGTCAATCGGTATTCCCTGTGTATTCGATGAATCTGTTTACTGGAAGTACCACTTCATTCTATGAAGTCATCGGCGCATTCATAATGGCAAATACACTCATTGAAGTGCTGTTAAGTGTATGTGTTGTTATGCTGTCTATTTGAACTGCATGCATTGCTGTAGGCCAATCAGCTGTGTACACTATCTGAGTACAGAATGTATGCCCATTCTCAATGCTAATTTCTCTCCATCGATCCTTTGTTTTGTCTTGGAGTTCGAGTAGTGTTGTTAGCTGAGTGAGTTTACTCGCACATGACTTCAAGATGCTTTCAGATCAGATTTAATGTAGAAGGAGGTTGATAAATTAACATGATACAGGTGGAAATATATGGTAGACCAGAAATGTCTTAGCTAAATGAAGTGATTATGAGCCAATCTTCAAATAACTTAGATTCGTTCCATCTGGATTCATGTTGAAGGCGTCCTTAGTTGCAATGTTCTATTCCTGCATCCAAGAAACAGTGAGCTCGGGTCATATTTTTTTTCCCTGAAATTTCTGTCTCTTACTGAATATTCCACAGAAAAATAATACTTGACACTAAGTCAATTCAGGTAAGTGAAAAAAACTTGGTTAGTCTTACTTGTTTGATAACATTTTGTGATATATTGATGTAACATATCCTGAACATCTGAAGAGTAAACATTGAAATTATTTTTCAGTCGGATATTAACCATCAGGACATTGATAACAACAAATTCCCTGCAGCAAATGATGTGAAGTATTGTGAACCATAGCTTGCTCAGTCAAATGGATCTATGCTAAAGCTGAATTACGTAAGTATTTCCTTTAGAATGTACTCTCTTCCCGTCATCTGATATTCTGGCAGTGAGAAATGTGTACGAGAAGAGAAGTTTGGCGTCATACAAACTAGTGACAATCATTTCAAGTCTGACATGAATAGCGTGAATTCATTTAATGAGTAATCAAAGCGAAAAAGGGATATTCATAGCATCCCGGCCTTAAAACGTCTTCTGACTAACATCTTCGCTTTATTCATTCAAAGGTATCTAGCTCAAATAGGGTAATTGTTAGGCGAAAATACACTAGACATTTGCACAATATCAACTATTTAAAGCTTGGGTGATGGAGAATGCATTCCAATTCCCTTAGAAGTTTTCCTGATGACTGAAGTTACATATGAGTGCCAGTTCATGGAGGTTCCATTGACTAAATCCCGCGATATAATCCATACACAAACAAACAGAGAAAGACAGTATAGTATCAGTCTTCGAATTCATGAATGACATTTGAGTAATATATTGAAGTGACACAGCATGCACAGCATGCCTGAAAACGAATCAATAGTGTAGTCTCATGAGAATCATAATTTCTGTTACTAAGTTATCATGTCATTTCAAAGTATAAAAAAGATAGAGCTTATGGCAAAAACCTCTGAAACACTACCCTATGACGTTTACATACATGAGAGTTGAGTACAAGCAGCATCTGACATTTCGAAACATCTCATAGTCAAATTCATATGTAAGTGAATGTATATCATGCCTAAGCAAACAGCTAAACAAATGCGATAAATACTGACGATTTGAAAAACACAGAAACTATAGAACTTCACAATCTCTAGTCTCTATTGTTTGCGATTGACAAGTGAACTATTCGTGATCCCATAAACCGTATTCCATAAACCTGTGGATCCTAAGTGTCTTTCAGTGCACTGAACAATTCTTGCTGATGAGATGTCATGCAGACAATGGAATCGAAGTGAATAATTCCAGTTACAACCACCTACATCAATGACAAACCTCTCAACACACGAATCATAATTATTCACTAAAATATCAAGCAAATATACACCCTCAATTTATTCAACTTCACAATTCCATTCCACACAAACTACAAGATAATTCAGTGAACATACGAGAATCCTCCGTCGTCCGCTCAGTTACAGCTGTGGAAAGAAGGAGGATGCTGGAGATTATTTGAACCACACAATTAAGATGATAATAATAATAATAATAATGAGGGAGATACAAATCGAAGTGAGAACAGTGATGAGGAGCAATCAGACGGTGGATATTCATCTGATCATTGTGATAATTCGGTGTCAGTGGATATCACCTGCGACAGTGATGTGTGTATGTGTGTGTGTGTTCCACATTGACATTATGAGTTCGTGTCATAGACTCCACCTATCAAGCAGTTCACTGAGCTTCATCCTACTGCCAATTTACACGTCAGCATGAGAGATGATGATTTTCTGTTCATTTTCACGTCTTGATAACATCCTTGTGAGTGTGTATGCAGACTGTTGATAACAACACAACAAATGTGTTTCTGCTATGTCGAAGAACTTTCTCGCTTTCCATTTGCAACAACGTGATGCGCAACTCACATACACAAACAAGACTTTTAATGCTCCATTTCCTATCCGAAATACTCTCAGAATACATTCCATGGTGTAGAATATTGACATACTGACATACCTTATTCAGTCTCGTAAAGCATTTCGATTCTATACAATTACTTACTTGAGGGTCGTGTTGATGATGAATGCAATGATAACTAGGAAATGATTTCTTCCCCCTCCTCGACACATCTGAGAAGTCATACTTAAGTTACTCCTGATGATGTCGTCTAGAAAGACGATGAAAGCTTCACGATTAAACAACCCGGCTCACACAGCACAATACAACCGGCACCATCAACCTGAGCTACAAACATCCTACATATCTACGAACTACCAGACACATGTTTTATTTGGTTACGACTGGTTCCAACCAGTCACTTACATGTGTATCCAAGAGAAACGTAGAGAAACAGAATTATCATGATATTGAGTGACCCAATGTGAAAGTGATTTGTCATATAATTGCATTTAGCCTATATATACATGTCAACTAAGAGACAATCCAGACATATGGTAACTGGAAACGGATGTGGAAGTATCTATACTCGCAAACTTTGTTAAAGTACATTTCAATCAACCTGAATGTCAAAGACAATCATTTAAGAAAATTAATTTACTCTGTCTGGTTGATTCTACACCTGTGTTAAACTCCGCATCCGAAGGTTGATCATCAAGATATGAAAAACTAGGTTTCAGCACTATAATTCATCAGTGTGAAAGGCAGCTGAATCTGGCGTCTCATCGATAAGTTTGGAGTGTCAGTCGTTAGACAATCATGATGGATACAATTCCATTTATTTAGGTAGGAGGGTGTGACTCACACTCGTCTGTATTTGCTGTGAAATAGAAGCGTGTCTCTCAACATTTTCTGACTTTGCAGATCGTGACGCTCAATTGCATCAAAATATTACTCAAAGTACACTAACAATTCGATAAGATCGATTACTTCGCCATTCAAGTGATGAAATGAAATTCTTCACACTCTCTCAATGACAAACTGAATGACTGGCATGTTTCTAAATACGTTTCGCATCCTTCAATCTGGATGCTGAGCATCAGTTAAATAACAGGGTCAATGTAGTGAAACAATGAGACGTGGTACATCACGATCCCTGTCCATGAGCTTCGTGATGGCAAAATTAGCGTCATATTCCTTCGATTATTCACAGTCTACGAATTAGATTCATACACAAGTACACTATTGTAATCCTCATCTCCTACTATCGACTTCACCTGAAACACTCAATACCTAATCACAATAAGATTATCTCACGGGAAAAACACTCAACAGTTTTGCTACACCCAGAAGTTTAGCCACTACGGTGAACATGTGAAAACATGTGAAATTCATAAACTGTTCCTGTCACCTTTCATCCTTCATTATCAAAATGAAAAGACACTCCCTTAACCCTACAATATCGATTTCCCTACTGACCATACTGAAACTCGTCAGTCTGAAACAACATGAACAGTACGAAATATAAAGGACATTCGGATGAAGATTTCCAAATCTGATGCATCAATGAGTGAACATCACTCAGGTGAAAATCACCTTCATATATCACCTACACACCTGAATCACACTCAATCTCCAATTATTCATACACCAAATATGTACACTCATCCACTCACCACTTCAATGACTACATCACACACACACACACACACACACCTAACAGACAGGAAGGAGAAGAGTCACAGCAACAGTCACAGCAACTGCAATCGCATCTACAATCAACTAAACACACAAAACTTGCCAAAATATATTTCAAGTGTGCATGCACATTGAGGAGAATAAACTCACTCTGTCCAACTGATTCCACACCTATACTGAAGTGGTCATCTGAAAGTGTATCAGGAAGGGAAATGTCAGCAAACAAATGTCAAATCATTCATTGAACAGTGTGATGGCTGGCTGAATTTGGCATTTCATTGATTAGTGTAGGGTGTCATTGATCAGCCACAAATACCATGGAGACAATGAAATGTGAAACTGTACATGAGTAGGATTTTCAATGGTGCATATTCCCTGCAAACTGGAGGCACATCTCTCCACATTTGTTGATCTCGGAGACAGTGATAGTCGGACGATTCAAGATAATATTTGTGGATTACATCACATTGATATTCAACACGATCGACCACTTCGCCATTCAACTGATCAAATGAGATTAGTCACTCACACACACACACACTCACTCACTCACAAACCTGCTGACAGACTGAATGACTACGATATGTGGAAATGCATTACATAGCCTAGAAATCACATGCTGATCATCAGTGGAATGAAGCGATGAGACGAGGTGGTCAGTCAAATATGTGACGATCCACGTCGGTGAGCTTCGTGTCCACCGAGTCACCATCATATTCCTTCCATTGTTCACTCACTGTCAATTCGCTTCCCAATCTACACACACATATACATTGACTGTGTTTCAGTCCCTGTTCACCTCGATACCAACATACACTGTGAAGTCACTTGTTCAATCTAATCATCAACAGAATCTCGAATGGTATGTCTGTTTCATCCAACTGTTGTGGGATAGCTTCTCACATGTTCATGACTTGGAGAAGAATTTGTGTAAATGATATTTGAATTTGTAAAAGTAGCTTACCGTTTCTTCGTGGTCGTGGTTTTCCGTCACCAACTTCCTGTGTATCTGAAATGTAGAGAAAAGCAGGCAGATTGTCAATCGTATGCAGTTTACTATGTATCGAGTATTGCACTTCATGAGGAACATCATTCGATTGGAGGGTAAGTCTCATATTTAACTGACTCCAACTAAGCACTTGTGTACCTATACAGGGCATCAGTTGCACCCTAGAGCAGCCTTTTCTCTATATGGAGGTTCACAATCATAGTCAGCATTAGGTGGGGCAATAAAGGCCATTCTTTAGACGGAATTTCCATTTGGCAAACACCTAGGCTGTTCGGCACTTTACATTAGAAAATATGTGGCTTTTTGTTCATACAATCTAGCTTTGTTCGTCTGAAACTAGTAACGTGTATAGTGGTGAAAGTGATAGTCAAAACCTCTCACAACCTTCACTCGAACATGGCGAGAACTTATCCATCGAAATTTGTATATGCTTGCAAATGTTTATTACCTGTGTTCATGATTGATATGAACATATTTCCAAATGGATGGAGATTCACGCTAATTACTGTGATGCCCATCCCTCAACCGATTGATGACATCCTCTGTCGTGTCGACATTTCAAGCAAACTTTGATCCTACAATTTCTCAGCACAAATTAGTGCACTGCAAGCTTACACCATCATTCCCTGTTGTAGATCATCCACTAAGGAACATTCTCTTGCGTCGAAACACATGAGTTGGTTTTCGTGTGAATGAATCATTGGAATGGACTGCTCCACTTCAAATCCCGGATATCCTCAGCTCTCATTGTTTTTCCTTTCTCTCTCACTTCGCAGATCATGTATGCTATCTTCACACATGACTCAGTCATTCATCAACGAATCCACAGTATTCTGTGTGATACAATGAAACGTTTGTCATCTCCATAACAGATGGAACCCACTGCCTCTGACACACAAATAGTTGCACATCTCACTGACATCTAATCACTTGCACTACTCAATCTCAATTGTTTACCAATCCCATTCGGTGATATGTCAACTTGATACAGAATCACACTGTGAGAAAATATCGGGTGTATGAAGTGAAATATGGAGGTGTGCTTGGTTCACCGCATGTTGGATGAGAGCTGTGATCACATACCTAATCAGAGGAAAGTGTGTGTGAAGGAGTGTAGAGGAAATCAAGTTGATTCTCTCCAACACCTCCTTGCATCATCATCATCAATGTGCAGATTTCGTTCTCAGTGCATGAATCGTGTATACATTATGACTTATTTGATCTTTTCGTTGAATGCATCTCATCTCACTTTTCACTATGTGATTGTGGAGGAGTGAGTGAGACTCGAGTGGTTGGCGATTGCCTGTCTGCAGCGTATCCATCATCACTTCTTCATACAGGAGTGGAAGAATGCCAGCCTGGTAATCTATACACTGTGTCTGTCATCAGTGGAAGTGGTCCCTCATAATAGATATATGTTGGAATCAGTCTGATCTGGTTGGGGGTAATCAGCTCCTCATCATCATTGAAATCAGATAGCTTCGTGGTTGCACACCCATTCAGATATACATACATAAATATGTGCAGATATATGTTGATTTGATTCACGAGATCAAGTGAGCTTACCTTGAACTGGAACTAGAGTGGCTACAGTAAAGCGAAAGAAACAGGGTGAGTGAGTGATTCAAGCTCATTAACTGATTTGTCAAGTGGTGGAGTTGTGTTGGAATGCGAGAACCTACATTATCACACACCTCACGAAGCGATTTCTCATCATTGCCTTCACTTGTTCACCACAACTCTCACATCACAGACAATTATAGAAACAACTCCCATAATCACTGATTCTCACAATACCATTATGTCTAACAACAAGACAAGGCCAGATTGCGTTCACCGTCAGCCTGTCTGTCCACTTTCAACACCAAGATGTATTCCCAAACAATATGTATGTGAACCATCAGAATATTATTCGCTGAACGTCAGTATGTCTAGTCAGTAATTCGGTGACATGATATGTGATATTGTGAAAGCAGGTTGCAGTTTGTGTACACAGGTTGGTGTTTGGTGTGTGGTGTCAGTGATACTGCTTGATGCAAACAGAGGAGAACAGGAATGCAAAGCGACTTCACATGCAGTTCGGAAACTGTTGACATTGTGAATACTGGTCAACGAACAACTGACCACGTCTTCAAGTGTTCTTCAATATTGAAGGGTGAGTGAGAAATCGTCATGATGCCATGTGTATGATGAATGGATTACTGTCAAACGTGAGTGTGTGGAGTTCACCTGTCGCTGACTACTCACATTCTGCTTCACACAGTTGTGATGTCTGTTTGTGTGTGTGTGTGTCAGTCCATAAGCCAGTATGTAGTGTATGAGTGAACTACCTGGACAACCATATCAATCAATGTCTACTATGTGAATTAACTGATTGCTTCATGTATACACAATCACAACAGAAAGTCACCCTGATTGCTTCTGGCCTATACGAATCAAGGAACATCCATCAACGCTGATTTCCACCACCAGAATATAAACATAGATTCGACATTTAGGTCAGCCATCTGACCGAAGTCAGGTAGACTGGTCAACTCATGGATATTCTATGTTTTCTTCGAATGCTAAGCAGAAACTCTTCACGAATTTTTTGCATCTTCACCACGATGCAATTCCCGACATACGCTCATTCGACATCGATATCCATAATGGACTGACATCTTTTGCAGAGACACTGGAATGCTGGGAACTATGAACACCTGTGCCATATCTGTATCACGCTCAATAATACATATTCATGAGCCCACCACAAATCGAATTCAAGACTTTCAACTCCCGTGATCAGCAACGTTATCACTGGACCTCTGTGTCTGAATCACTCGGTCTATATTTCCTACTCCTAACACTATATGACCTCCATGCAATGTCATCGTTGACTATCTGTCCTCATTGTCGACTTAGTTAGCCCCATCAATCAAGACTTGTCATTAAAACTTTGAGAATCATAACTCAAACCTAGTCACCACTGATCACACATTCATCCCACTTGAAATATCCTTCCAAATGATAATGAGGTGAAGTTAACTTGCCATCTGCAAATGTCACACTTAAATCAGTCTGCTAGATAATATTTGATGAGAAAGTAACCTGTACTGCTGAGGAAATTCAAACCAGTGGAAAACGTGATTATTCTCACTTTTCTGATAACATTTCGTGATATATTGATTGAGTGTCTCCAGAGTATCTGGAAGGAGAAGAGAAAGTCAACTATAAGTCAACACGTTATCAATAAGTGCAACACTCCAACGGAAAGGAATGTGAAATTTGATATAACACTGAGACTATCAGATAGATTGACTGTATCATATTTTGACTGGTTATGCGCTGTGACAAAAGAAGTGAGTTCTGTATTCCACATGCCCAACTACGTATTCTTCAATGGAGAGTAGTTGAAATATGCGAATAAAGGAATCACTTCATCTCATCTCACAGTCTTCGAGTGAGGTAAATATATCAGAACATAACATTTGTTTGCACAACCTGATCACTGTCAATTGACTTCAAGTATTGTGCTATCCACTGAGGCGAAAATCTGTAGGAATCGAACTTATTTCCTTCATAGTATGCACTATAAAGCATCCGGTGAGTGAAGTTCACGTTTCAGGATCTTTCGTCAAGCAACACAGTACATGTATTCATTCGAAGTCATCTAGTTACGTTAGCATACTCATACCGAGAACGCTGATGTTGGAATACACTTGGATTTTACACCAGAAATCATTTCCTAAATCAAATAACTGATGGTCATTCCAACCGATCGCATTGAGAAATAGATTTATCTGCTGATTGAAGTAGGATGCTGTCTAGAAAGAGCAAACTAGAAAGGTGGCCACCTAGATTACTTGTTACTGTCGGTGCTGGATGCTCAATTTCTTGATGTACGCAACACACACACACACACACAGACAAACATATTTACTAATAATAAAGCCGGCCATCCATATCGAGCGCACGCGTCGAGTAACATATTCAAGTGTGCTGAACACAGGTTAAGTGTTTGAACACAATTGATGAGTTGTAATATATGTTCAAGCATGTAAGCGTGATTCGCTTTTTTATACATAGCCAAACTGTTGACCAGTTTCAATAAATGATGGGAAGCATACAAACGGTAGATCAGTAGAGCTTTACAATCTAATGTTTCTGCAGTTCAAGTTTGACAACTCAACTACTAAAATTGGAAAAAATATCTCTCATTACAATGAACATCTCCTCTTGATGTCATGCAAATGTCATGCAGACAATGGAATCGAAGTGAATAATTCCAGTTACAACCACCTACATCAATGACAAACCTCTCAACACACGAATCATAATTATTCACTAAAATATCAAGCAAATATACACCCTCAATTTATTCAACTTCACAATTCCATTCCACACAAACTACAAGATAATTCAGTGAACATACGAGAATCCTCCGTCGTCCGCTCAGTTACAGCTGTGGAAAGAAGGAGGATGCTGGAGATTATTTGAACCACACAATTAAGATGATAATAATAATAATAATAATGAGGGAGATACAAATTGAAGTGAGAACAGTGATGAGGAGCAATCAGACGGTGGATATTCATCTGATCATTGTGATAATTCGGTGTCAGTGGATATCACCTACGACAGTGATGTGTGTGTGTGTGTGTGTTCCACATTGACATTATGAGTTCGTGTCATAGACTCCACTTATCGAGCAGTTCACTGAGCTTCATCCTACTGCCAATTTACACGTCAGCATGAGAGATGATGAATTTCTGTTCATTTTCACGTCTTGATAACATCCTTGTGAGTGTGTATGCAGACTGTTGATAACAACACAACAAATGTGTTTCTGCCATGTCGAAGAACTTTCTCGCTTTCCATTTACAACAACGTGATGCGCAACTCACATACACAAACAAGACTTTTAATGCTCCTTTTCCTATCCGAAATACTCTCTCTCTCTCTCTCTCACTCAGGTGGAAATCACCTTCATATATCACCTGCACACCTGAATCACACTCAATCTCCAATTATTCATACACCAAATATGTACACTCATCCACTCACCACTTCAATGACTACATCACACACACACACACACACCTAACAGACAGGAAGGAGAAGAGTCACAGCAACAGTCACAGCAACTGCAATCGCATCTACAATCAACTAAACACACAAAACTTGCCAAAATATATTTCAAGTATACATGCACATTGAGGAGAATAAACTCACTCTGTCCAACTGATTCCACACCTATACTGAAGTGGTCATCTGAAAGTGTATCAGGAAGGGAAATGTCAGCAAACAAATGTCAAATCATTCATTGAACAGTGTGATGGCTGGCTGAATGTGGCATTTCATTGATTAGTATAGGGTGTCATTGATCAGCCACAAATACCATGGAGACAATGAAATGTGAAACTGTACATGAGTAGGATTTTCAATGGTGCATATTCCCTGCAAACTGGAGGCACATCTCTCCACATTTGTTGATCTCGGAGACAGTGATAGTCGGACGATTCAAGATAATATTTGTGGATTACATCACATTGATATTCAACACGATCGACCACTTCGCCATTCAACTGATCAAATGTGATTAGTCACTCACACACACACACACACTCACTCACAAACCTGCTGACAGACTGAATGACTACGATATGTGGAAATGCATTACATAGCCTAGAAATCACATGCTGATCATCAGTGGAATGAAGCGATGAGACGAGGTGGTCAGTCAAATATGTGACGATCCACGTCGGTGAGCTTCGTGTCCACCGAGTCACCATCATATTCCTTCCATTGTTCACTCACTGTCAATTCGCTTCCCAATCTACACACACATATACATTGACTGTGTTTCAGTCCCTGTTCACCTCGATACCAACATACACTGTGAAGTCACTTGTTCAATCTAATCATCAACAGAATCTCGAATGGTATGTCTGTTTCATCCAACTGTTGTGGGATAGCTTCTCACATGTTCATGACTTGGAGAAGAATTTGTGTAAATGATATTTGAATTTGTATAAGTAGCTTACCGTTTCTTCGTGGTCGTGGTTTTCCGTCACCAACTTCCTGTGTGCCTGAAATTGACACGAAAATATGATTTATGCGGCGTAATATGAGGACATATTTGATCTAGGTCGCGTGATATTTTAACCCTCGATACTGTGGATATGCTTTCCAGAATAACGCGAATAAGCCACATGTGACTCTGGCAATGAGCTATCCAAGAACCTATTACCCAAGATGTATGTAGAAGCCAGTGGATATGAATCACGCATACACTGCGAAGACCATTTGTTCAGACCACACGTCCGGCAGTCTCTTGAATATAATGCTAATTAAAGACGACGAGTTTGGCTTCCGAGGTCTATATGGATTAGATCATGTGAGAAAGAAATGAATGCTTGTTGGTAGTTCTGTTGCCAGGTTCAAAAGACAACAGGGAATGGATTGCAATGAAGTCTTATCTTCCAATAGGATGTCAAGGGACATATAATAATAATGATAATAATTTCAAATAGTCTGACCACACATAAACGTATCGAACTGCTTGTATGAATACTTCCGGAAAGGTTGACTTAAGTATATAGGAAACATCGAACGAGTATTAAGGGCAGAAAAAACAACAGAATTTCAATCACGCTACTTTTGGTATGATAATCAAAACAAACACTTATATTAGATGATCGTTGAAGGTGAAAGAAGAATTAGGATCGCAGTTGGGTTCGAACTAGCGACCATGCGGTTTCCGACTGGATGCTCTACTAACTAAGCTAGCTACGGGGTTTCATTAGATAGAACCGTTCAACCTCCGCAGAGCACAGTTTAAAATTGGACCTTGTAGCTCAAGTAGATGAAGCATTGGGCCAGAAACCCAGTAGTCTCTGGTTCGAATTCGGCCGTGCTTCAGTTGTTTTCATTCCACCTTCAATCACCATCCACTATAAACACTAGTCTGCCATAACTACGGCTACTATCTCAGAGAGTGAAAATGATAAAAATCTATACACCACTAATGTAGGTTCAATGTGAGTACAAATCCTTTTTCTATACATAAAGTGGGGGGGGGGGGGGGGGTTTGAATTTACGGATGGTAAGTGATCCAGTGAATTTAAGCACTCAACTCTGACCACTTTTATGCACTACTTGAAAGGCTTTTTTCATGTCTATCCGATGATTAGTTTCTAGTATATGTTTAACGATAGACAAAGATGGATGTTTGTCAACACCATTTATTTGTTGATCTGTTCATTTCATTCCTTTTTGATACCAGAAAATTAGCTAGATGTTCAACCATCCTTAATTGTATTTGACGTTTATTAATATAATATTCTTTGTCCCTTGGGTTCCTAGTGGAACATAGGGATTCAGTAGCACGTCTCCACTCCAATCTATTATCTACAAACTTTTGAACCTGGTTCCACGACAGCCAACAACTTCTCGTTTCTTCCCCACACCATCTTCTGCATGTCAGCCTTGCCTCGGACGCCCTTGATGTCCCCAAATGGTCTTCTCAGTGCATGTCAAATCGAATCCGTCTCCATTTTCTTCTACTGCGTATTTGTTGAGCTACAGGTTCCTGTTTCTTTGATTCGTCACCAGACAGCCACACTCAGTTCCTTCTGGCTTATTCTCATCATTCTGGCCATCTCATCTCATCTTCAGTATCGAGCCAGTGTAGGCGGCAGTTGTTCATCAATATCTCTAGTCTATTGAAAATGCTTTTCGTAACGCTCCAAGTCTCTCAACCATCACATTGAAGCAAGCACTGACTTACTTGACTGAATTGGTGTTGAAAATCCGGATGTTGTTCACGCTTTATGCTGAGTGAAGTGCAGTGCAGTGCATAAGATCTCCACACTAGTTTCAGGTTAGTGCAGGGACGCCTATCTTGCTTGCTGTTCCGATGCTGGCTGACTTTGACTTCCTAGTGTGTGCCTGTGTTGCTGTCTGTAGTTGAAATGCTGCTGACTATATAGGTGAAGGAGGCTACTTCCTTTTACTTCCTCCCGTTGATGGTAATTGGAGCTTATTTCGAACGTGGTGACATTATTTGGGTATCATCATAACCTCCGTCTTCTCTACGTTCACTTGAAGGGAGTCCTGTCTTCCTTCGCTGCCTCGCATCACCTCCACTGTGAACTCGTTAGTTTTCCACTTCACATCTTCGACTTTGTGTGACATTAGACATAAGTCATCATTAGCGAAATCCAAATCTTCTAGACTCTTTTCATCAGTTCAGTCAGCGTATGCACATCTTCTTGCTCCTCACTATTTGCTGTTAGATCCAGTTGACCACAATCACGAAGATCATCGGTGATAGTAGACAGCAACCTTGTCTTACTCATCTCTTCACTTCACTTCAAAGGCATCACTGAGCTTCCCATTGTGAATTACTTGGCATTTGGTGTGTTCATATAGTTGTTGAATGAGATCGATGAAGGTTTGCGGTATTCCGTAGTGTTGAAGCAACTGCTAAATTACTTGTTCATCGACGCTGTCTATGGTCACGATAACTCCTCCCTGTATATGTATATGTTTACATAGATAATTCTCGTCTTCTCATTACGCTGTTTATATTTATCAAAGGGACCACTTGATTTCAGTAAGAAGATTATCAATTATACTTGATGTTCCGGTCACCTTGTTTCGCTTACCACCTCGTCTTTTTATTCACCTTTTTAAGACCTCGATTCTGTCTTTTGAGTATCATATAGTTACTCTATGGTAGTTGTTTAAGGGAACTGATTCCTTTGTTGCTCAGTGTTATACAGAATTCTTGTCTGATAATTTATCCCATGTCATTTCCATAACTAACACCAGATTTCAGTAAATATAATTCAATACACTAAATTTTCAAACAGGATTTAAACCAGTAGCACAGGGCTTGCGACTCCATACTCTATCTACTGAAATATACGATTTCACTGGATCGATGTTATTATTATCAGTTCTTTGGGTTCCTAATAGAACTTAGACATTCAGGAGCTAGTCTCCAATGAGCTGTGTTCTCTGAAATCGTTTGAACCTGGATTCACGACAGTCCACAACCTCTCATTTCCTCCTCACACGATTTCCTCCATGTCACCATCACCTCAAACGCCCAACTCCTTCCTTACAATCGGGGTTCCACTCGACGGCCTGATGCCTGATGTCCCCACTCGGCCTTCCCACTGTATACCCAATCCATCTACACTTCCCTCTGCATATTTGCTCAGCGATACGTTCTTGTTTGGTTCATTCCCAGAGTTCCTTGTTGCTTATTCTCATTATTCTGGACATCTGCACTTCACTAACCAGCCAGCGCAGGGGGCAGTTCATGTTGAGTGTCTGTAGTTCATCGGAAATCCCTTTCGTAACACGCCAAGTCTCTCAACCATACAGAAGCACTGACTTGACTCAACTGGTGTTCAAAATCCGAATCTTGTTCCACATGCTGAGTGCAGTGCAGTGCAGTGCAGTGCAGTGCAGTGCAGTGCAGTGCATAAGATCTCCACACTGGTTTCAGGGTAATGAATGCCTCTCTTGCTTTCACGATCCTGACTTTGACATCCTCGTCTGTGCCGCCTGAATTTGAAATGGTGCTGCTTTGATAGGTGAAGGAGGCTACTTCCTTCCTGTATGTTTCTCCCGTTGATGATGATTGAAGCTTATTGTTGTTGTTGTTGTTGATGGTGTTGGTGGTGTTGGTTTGGTATCTTCATCACCTCTGTCTTCTCTATATTCACTTTAAGGGGGTCCTGTCTTCCTTCGCTGCCTCCCCTCTTCTGTCAACTTGTTAGTTTTCACCTGTAGATCTTCAAGTTTGTGTGACATGAGACATAAGTCATCGGTGGCGAAATCCAAATCTTCTACATTCTTTTCCGCAGTCCAGCGTATCCCCCCCTTCTCGCTCTCCTCTGTTTGCTGCATGATCCAGTCGACCACAATTAGTAATATCATGGGTGATAGAAGGCAACCTTGTTTCACTCCTGTCTTCACTTCACTTCAAAAGCATCACTGAGCTTCCCATTGTGAATTACTTGGCATGTGGCGTCTTCATATACTTGTTGAATAAGGCTGATAAAGGTTTGCGGTATTCTGTAGTATTGAAGAAGTTTCCAAATTTCCTGTCGGTCGACGCTGTCAAAGGCCTTCTCAAAGTTGATGAAGTTGAGTTGGAGAGAGAGTTGACTACTTTTCTATACTCTGTTGTATGATGATGCGAAACGTTGTAGTGTGGTCTGCAAATGACTTGTGCTTCCTGAAGCCTGCCTGTTCCGGTCGTAATTTTGCATCCAGCTCATAGTTTAGTCTCTCCAGGATGATGCGCTCAATATTTTTCCCGCTTGGGGTGGACAGGAGAGTGATTCCTCGCCAGTTCTTGCAAACACTGAGGTCTCCCTTCTTCGGCAGTTTGACAAGGTAACCCTTCTTCCAATCATCAATGGGCAGGTACCTTCTCTTCCCTCCACACCTTCTGCAATAGTGGTGTGGTGTGAGCATGTCCGCTGTTGTCTCTGTGTCTGTTCTCAGTGCTTCTGGCGGGATCCCGTCTGGTCCTGCTGCTTTCCCGCATTTCAGTAGCTTTATGGCGTTCAGGACTTCGAGTTTGGTCGGAGGGCTTGTGTTCACTTGTAATTCAGCGGCTGCAGGTGGTATTTCTGGACGAAGTGCAGGTGGTGGTCGATTCAAGAGCTTCTTGAAGTGGTCAGCCGATTGTTTCCTCTGTTTCTCTTCTTTCGTAATTAAATTTCCTTCTTCATTTTTTATTGGTTTCATCTGTGTTGGTCTCTTCCCTGATAGCAACCTGGTTATTTGATACAATGTCGTCAGGTCTCTCCTACCAACATGCAGCCTGTTCTGCTTCACTTGCCAGTGTTTCGTAGAAGTGTCTTTTGTCTTTCCGTGCACTCTTCTTCACTTCTTTGTCCAGTGTAGTGTTTTATACATTGTGCTCAGTTCCTCTTGTCGTTGAGCGTCCTTGCACTGGTTAATCTTGTGCTTCACCATCCTCCTCTCCGTCCTCTATCAGCTTCCATGCATCCGTCGAGATCAATTCCTTGTCTTCTTTCTTCTTCCTTCCCAATACTGTTGTGCAGGTTTCTTTCCACATAGCTTTCAAAGACTTCCAGTGTTCTTCCACACAGCTTTCTTCAGGGATGTTGCTCGATATCTCCCATTTTGTCTTGATGGCTGCCTTGAAGATCTCCTTTGTAGTTTCATCCTTCAGTTTCCGAGTGTTGTACTTGAACTGTAGTCGTCTATCACCAGCTTCCTTGAAGGCTTTTAACGTGATTTGGAAGGTTCCTTGCACTAGACAGTGAGTGGTGTGAACCTACATCTGCTCCTCTTCTTGACCTTGTGTTCAGTAGACCGCGTCTCCATTTTCTTGAGATTGAGATAAAGTCGATTTGATTTTTAGTGTGTCCATCTGGTGAAATCCATGTCGCTTTGTGGATATCCTTGTGCTTGAACACACTGTCTCATTGCAATCACCAAATCGCTGAATGCACAGAAGTCTGCAAACAATTCTCCATTCTCATTCAATTCACCTAGCGCCTCTCGACCCATGGTTAGTTCTCTTCCCGTGTTGTCCCCTCCCAGTTTGACATTCATGTCACCCATCAGAATTTTGATATCACCAACTGACGTCTTGTCCAGTGTTGATTGAAGTTGTCTGTAGAAATCCTCCTTTTTCTCTTCATCTGCATTATTCCTAGGTGCGTAGCATTGTATGATTGTGACCTTCCTTCCTTTTGAGTTGAACCTTGCTGTCATGATCCTGGAGGAGACTGGTTCCCAACGCATGAGGTCCTTCGATGCCCTTCAAGGGGGCATCATGATAGCCACTCCAAAACTCAGTGTGCTGATGGTTGTCCTCTGGGTGACAATATCGGAGTAGATTATTGATTCTCCAGTTGACAGTTTGGAGAGTCCACTTCCATTCCATCTGCTTTCGCAAATTCCAAGCACTTCAATGTGATACCTCTTCATCTCGTTTTCAATCTGGGCTGGCTTGCTAGGTTCCAACATAGTGCGGACATTCCATGTCTCCACGTTTACTTTCGCTTTCATCGAGAGAAGAGGAGACACATCGGCCAATTGGCCTCCCGAAGGCAGGCTTTCACCAACTGACGTCATTTTGCCTCTCCGATTCCATAAGCATTATTTTTTACATTTCGTTTGTGCTTTGAAGTTTCTTTAGCGGTTAGATTTGTTTTACGGCGTAGGGCTGTTAGCCCTATGCCCAACCCTCCCTTTTTACCCGGGTTTTGGACCGCCTAGTAACTAGTGAACTAGTTAACCAGGCGAGGTCTATATTGGCCACAGTCCGAACTGGACCTCGCAGCTCAAGAGCATCGAATCGGAAACCCACTGGTAGCTGTTTCAAATCCCGTCACAGTTCAAATCTTTTCATTTCACCTTCAATCAACCATCCAGTATCAGTAATACTAGTCTGCCAAACCCCATGGTTGGCTATCTGACATAATCATAATAATTATATCCATACACCACCAAGGTAGGTTCAATATGAGTACAAATTGATTTTGTATACATAAAACAGAGAGGTTTTAATTTACAAATGGTAAGAGCTTCATTAAATATTTGTATAAATGAAATATTTAATTACTTTTAGCATAACATTCAGTGACATAGTCTTTCAATGCTTCTTGCCAATCTGAAAAAAATGAGCAATCATGAATTTAAAGGTTGGATAATGCCTGGCAGTGGTGTGTTAAGTTTCGTGCATTTTGTGACTCATCAGGTAATTGAAACTAAGGCTAAAAGCTGGATCTAATCAATTTAATTACCTGAACACTATACACTAAGCAGTTGAATAATGATAGCCAGTGAATCTTGTCAATCAAACTAATCTATATGACAATGCAATCTTAAATCTGTATACAGTACTAGACAACAGTATAATAGAGTTGAAGAGAATAACTTGCCGAAAGAATAGTTCAACCAAACTGACGGTATAGTCGATCAGTAATACAGAGACCATTTTAAGCGAACTAACAATAATCTCAGTGTTATAGGGACACAGAGAGAGAGAAGACTCATCTGAAAAAAGACAAGTTAACAAGTACTTTGTGCTAACAATTTTACGGTTAGACGGACAGATAGACAGTGAATAAGTCAATGAATAAGAATATATTACCAATATTTTCCTCTGTTTTTATACATTTCGACTGTGCTTTGAAGTTTTTGTAGCAGTCGGATTGGTTTTACTAGGTAGAGTGGCTAGCCCTATGCCCAACCTTCCCACTTTATCCGGGATTAGGACCACCTAGTAACTAGTGAACTAGTTAACCAGCACTCAACATCAAGGAGAAGATCTGGATTTCCAACACTAATTCAGTCAAGTCAGTGGTTCTATACGGTCCAGAAACTTGATGCGTTACGAAAAGCATTTCCAACAAACTACAGATATTGATCAACAACTGCCGCCTACACTGGCTCCTTATTGAGGCTGAGATAGCCAGAATAATGAGAATAAGTAACAAGGAAGTCTCGCGTGGCAAAAAACCAACCAAGAACCTATCACACAATAAATATGCAGAAGGAAGTGGAGACGGATTCGATTGAGCAGAAACTGAGAAGACTATTCGAGGACATTGTGTGCCAGACCAGGCACTCAAGTGGAACCCAGATGGCAAACGATGAGTTGGGCGTCCCACTAGATGGTGACATGGATGAGACCGTGTGAGGAAGAAATGGGAACTTCTCGGTTGTCGTGGAGCCAGGTTAAAGGGAAGACTGCAGAGAAGAGAGTGGAATGGATACGTGTTACTGAATCCCTATGTTCCACTAGGAACCCAATGGAATAATAATAATAATTTTCCTTTGTTTTTAGTCTCCTGTCTTCTCACCTCAAATACACGTTTCTACAAATCCATCGTGTCTTCTGGATTATTTATTCATGTCAGGAATCAACTATTAATTTGTTGAATGTTGATGGCTGACACTCAACATCCGTGTAACTTTAATGGCTAAAGCACATAGCACTTTTCCAAACATTAACAGTGGTGACGGATATGGTATATTAGGAAATGGATTCCTCGAAGTTGGACAGTTTCCTTGAACAACAAATGACGATTATTGAGCTACTTAATAATCAAAAATCTCCGATACTAATTCATCGTCTACTACGCCAGTTTATGACATCGTCAACAGCATCACTGAATTTCATTACGATTCTGAAATCAATACAACTTTCAACAGTTGATTCAGTCGTTACAAAGACCATTTTAAAGTGGATTTTACTGGCTAACATGATCCTTGGAAGGTACGCCTCCAACTTTGAAAACATGTTTCACCTGAGGTAGGTCAATACTGTACCATGATGTCACTACAGAACCCATGTGATTGCACTCTCGACACTACAGTCCAGACACTAAATGACATGTCTGCACAATACCAACCACCGGTCAACTTGTAGCATAATATGAGTTTAGCTCAGTCTGGACACCAGAGTAGTTCTAAAGTACATACAGTTTACCAAACATCTCATTCCCCTACAACACCCTTTGGCTACACACAACCTGACCTCATCTCACCTGCTCAGCGGCCTAGTAACCAATGCCATATCAACCGACCCTCGAAGAAGACATCCATACTGCCTTGTCGGCATTACGGTGCTGATATTCTGTCAAGTCTTGTTCACATAAACAGCATCTGTGTAAAGACTGTATTGTTGGGAGTCATAAGGACGCTTTCTATCACCAACACACACAACGACGTGTACGTAGGTCATCCTCGAGATATCGCCGTGAATCTCATTCTCTCTCTGTAGGTAAGTCTCTTGACTTGGTGGCTGATTTTCATGGCCATATACCTTGCCGCCGAAAGAATATCGGGAGTACTACTGATCCACCAGTAAACGAAGACAAACTCCGTCTTAGTCGGTTAGATAGATCCAACGGAGAAGACAGTGCAGCCCACTCTGACCCCGATTGCCTCGTCACACAATGTTGGTTAAAGACCCTGGAAGACCAGACTGAAACATGGCATCAATGCATAAAGTGGTTGACTGTTGGTATGAGCCATATGTAGCGACACAGACTGGGTGGTTGAGGTCCTCGAGACAAGAGAAACCAGTGGTTGGAGACTGACCCTTGGTGTCGCAGATGTATGCAGACATTATCCTCATCTTAACGAAGCTATACCGGATCTCACTATTTTCTCATTCTTCTTTTCTCTCTCTTAATACTTGATATTTCTTTTGACTGTATTTTCTCATCCTCATCTTTTACCTCAGCTCATTTTTACTTGATGCACTGATATGAGCTGTAGCAACTCGAACCGTAACGCAGTAATGCCTGGTTCTATGTTGATATTGATGATGACGATAATGAGTCATAACAACCAGCTTCATATCATAACTGTAAATTATATTGAGTAACTTGAATGTGACTTGACATACCATAGCTGGTTAAATAGCTGATGATGAAATTATCTGCCTATTTAGCTAACCTAGTAAGCATACTGCTTGTGCTGAATACTCAGTAGAAGAGTTAACAGCCAAACTGATCACAACACATACTTAGTAAACACTACTACTACGTCAATCGAACTCTTCAACTGAAGTCTTCAATCTACTTTAGTCAGTTGATATTTAAATCAGTCTCCTCTACATGTTATTTCAATATCCTACATCATGATATGTCTACCAAACAAATCAATTTCCTTCAAATACCTTATCCTTTTCATGATGTTCTCCTTTTAGATGACATAAACCAGATAGGTACTTGCCTCATCTATCCCACTGACAGACACTGGAATCAAACAAGCCGTGGTCCACCTCTTACAGTCTTATCTACACAGACATGAGAATGTCAAGAATTCTTGTCATAATTTAAGCATATCCTACTACTAATACACACCGTTTTCGTGATATGTCAGTTAACGGTCTATTCCCAATCAAGCTGCACAAAGGCACTTTATGATACCATTTACATCTAATCACCCATTCTTCATGTGGTGGTGTGATGTTGAGAACTGTGTTTCTCTCTGTCCTACACTGACAAGGAAGGAACACCACGGCAACATAAGTTGACATTACTCACGAAGTAAGTAATCCTGACTGCATTGTCACCAAACATATGGCATATCACTTTTCACCAACACCTCAGTTGAATCTCTACCTACTGTTTACATGGAATATCACACTTCCATCATATTCAGGAGAATAACAAGTGCTTAGAATTGAAAACCATACAGACAGACGAATCATTCTGTCATGGTTCAGGTATGGATTTCGTTTTCAATCAAGATCCAGTTGAGAGAACACAACACTATTAGAATTATCTTCATGAACATCAGATATTCTGGATCATTCGAGGATCTTACAAGCGTCACAGACTTCTTATTGTTCATAAATGGAAGAAGTTCACCCAGACACAGTCATTCATAAGAGAATGACCAAACCAGTACGCTATGTCAACAAGTGTCAGTTACACACCAGCAATCGACTGTTCAGTGAGCTGGAAACTAGTTGAAAGTACTGGAAGACACATGGTCCAACCGATAATCACACACAATTCAACCATCAATTCATCAAAATCGGTCAGCATCACTGTGTGAACGATGTCAGTCGATCAAGTTACAGGTATAACTAGATAATCATATCAGACGGTAAGTACGTTTTCAGCAATTCTGATAAGAAACAGTTATCACCGCATTGAAACTAGTTTGAATGATATGTATGTCCCCAGTCATTAACTCTAGGGTAATTTATGTTTTTATATGTTAAGACGCCATCAACAAACTGTTCTGTTTACTAAGCCAAAATATCCTGGAGCGACTAAACAATGCCAGGAATTAAAAACTACTACCGGAACAGGTTGGCTGACTTCATGAAGAAAAAATCATGTACAGAGCAAATTGCAACGCCACACTACGCATCATCATACAACACAACAGAACAGAATAGAACAGAACAGTACAGAACAGAACAGAACATAGAGTGACAGTCTACTCTACAAATCAACTTCATCCACTTCGAAAAAGCCTTCAATAGCGTCGATCGACAAGCAGTTTGGTAGGCAGCTGCTTCAATACTACGCTTGTACAGCCACAAATATTTATCAACCTGATTGAACAGCAATTATATGTAATATGAGGATGCTGTGTGCCAAGTGATTCACGATGGAGAGTTGAGTGATGCCTTTGAAGTGAAGTGGAGTGGAGTGAAGTGAAGTGGAGACATGAGTAAGACGAGGTTGCCGTTTACTGTCATCGATGATCTTCGTGAATGTGGTTGACTGGAGTCGACTGTATGAATGAGGAAACTGTGTGGAGCGAGAAGATAGACATAAGCATTTATGTCATATCGCACAAGGTTGAATATGTACAGGCGAAAATTAAGAAGTTGACAGAAGAGGGGAGGCAGGGAAGATGGGACTTCCTACAAGAGAACGTAGGGAAGACAGAGATGATGACGATACCCAACGAACTACATCAACAACAAGCACCAATCACCATTAGTGGAAGAAATCTGAAGGAAATTATCTCTCTCACCTACCTACCTATCTACCTAGTCAGCATCCTTTCCACTACAGACGGTACATATTTAAACATATGAAAGGCGAAACTGAAAGTCAAGACGGGCCTTCAATAATGTGAAATCAGTGTGAAGATCTACTGCAATCATCATTTGGAACAGGATCCAGATTTTCAACACTGTTTCATTCAAGTTAGCACTTCTGTGTAACAGTTGAGAGACTTGTAGCGTTACGATAATCATTTCGAACAAACTGTAGACATACATAGATCTTAAAGATCAGATTTGCTGGTAAAAAGCAAACAAACAACGAATCAACCAAGAACCTATCGTTTAATAAATATGTGTAAGAAGAACGTGGAGGTGTATTGGATTGGAAATACACTGGGGAAACGGTTTGTGGATATTATATGCCATGTCATCAAGTGGATCTGAAATGGGAAATGACAATTTAGGCGTACGAGAATGATATGGAAGAGATAGTGTGAAGAAGAGCCATTGAAATAACAGAGTGAAATGATGACATGTTAGTGAACCTCTATATTCCACTAGGTACCCAAGATCCCAATAATAATAATAATAATAATAGTAGTATCATAACATTTATCTTCAAATAAAGACTTACTTGTTTCACCCGATATAGAGAATACCACTAACAAGCAAATTATGATAATATACAATTCAAATCGGTTCATTGAAAAAACTATTTTTATGAATTCAGTGGTGTGATCTACTCCGCTCTCTTGAATATATATATAAATATACAGCTCTATATTCATTATATATAATTTGACCTTAAGGATAATATAATTAACTAACTGAAAAGAAGGTTGAATCATTGGAAGACTATGAAGTAATTCAATGATAATTATAGAGTCTTTTATCTTGTTAGTTAACACCGCTACATTTTAATTTGATCATAACAGAGAATAATTGTTATTGTCTTGTATTATATTGTTTAGTTAATTATCAAAGGATTATATAACGAACTTTTGAACATGATAATAGTAAATGTGTCTAGACGACTGAATAAAGTATCAAGCCAGGTGAAACAATGGTTTTTCTTCAAAGGAAATTATTATTCATTTACTTCATCAATGTTTAATTAGATGATCATAGAATATATGAAAAGATTTTCGAGGGGGTTGTGGAGATTCGGAAATATTTCAAGTTGTTATTCATCGAAGACTGACATCAGTTGAAGGAACAAAGGAAACCTGGGAGCACTGGACAGGTGTTTCCTCCAACTGGTATGGGACTCCTCAGCAGTGCGCACCCACGACCCCACCAGCAGGGATTGGACCCGCGACCTTCAGGTTCCGCGACCAGCGCGTTACCATTGAGCTAGCCACTGGGTCAGAATCCAATGCTCCATATTTCCAACTTCTGTTAGCTCACGATATAGCGCAAACCGCCACCCAATGTCATCGTTGAGTATTTGTCCTCACGGCCATCAGGCTTGACTCCACCGGTGGAGTCCCATACTAGGATGAAACAGCTGTCAAGTGCTCCCAGGTTTCCTTTGTTCCTCCAACTGATGTCAGTCTTCGATGAATAACAACTTGAAAAGATTTTCATTGGTTATTTACAACAAGATTAAATAATTTGATTAGACTTTTATAAGATTATTTTGAGATTGAAAAAAAGTTAGAGTTGAATACAGATTCAGAGATAATAGTGGACATGTTCATATGACTATTACAAAAGGTTTGGAAAGGAAAGCAGGGCAACCTAAGTCTTTGTAAGAATTGGTGAGGAATCATGCTTCCTTCTATACCAAGCTAAATATTATACCACATCATCTTGGAGAGATTAAAGAATGCGCTGGATTCAAAACTACAACTAGAACAGGCTAGATTTAGGAAGTATAAATCATACGTGAACCAAATTGCAAAGCTATGCATCATCAACTTCAACCACTTTGAAAATGTTTTTGATAGCGTCGACTCAGAAGTAATTTGACAGCTGCTTCAATACTACGGAATACCATAAACCTTCATCAAACTAAGTCAACTGATTAGCTATACGAAGACGCCACAGGCCAAGCAATTCACAATGGGAAGCTCAGTGATGCCTTTGAAGTGAAGTGAAGAGATGAGTAAGACAAAGTTGCTGTCTACTATCACCGATGATCTTCGTGATTGTCGTCGACTGGATCTAATAGCAAATAGTGAGGAGCGAGAAGATGTGCATAAGCTGATTGAACTGATGAAAAGAGTCTAGAAGATTTGGCTTTCGCTAATGATGATTTATGTCTAATGTCACACAAAGTCGAAGATGTAAAGTGGAAAACTAACAAGTTGACAGTGGAGGTGATGCGAGGCAGCGAAGGAAGACAGGACTCCCTTCAAGTGAACGTAGAGAAGACAGAGATGATGAAGATACCAAACCAACGCCACCAACAAAATTAACAAGCTACAATCACCATACAGGAAGGAAGTAGCCTCTTTCACCTCTCCAGTCAGCACTGTTTTAAACTACAGGTGTCACAGATGAGGTCGTCAAAGCCAGCCAGGATTGGAAAAGTAAGAAAGGTGTTCATTCACCTTCTGCACTGCACTACACTACACTCAGCATAAAACATGAACGAGATCCAGATTTTCAACTATAATTCAGTCAAGTAAGTCAGTGCTTCTATGTGATGGTTGAGAGACTCGGTGCGTTAGGGAAACCATTTCCAACAAACTACAGATATTCATCAGAAGCTGTCTACGTGGGCTCGATACTGAGGCTCAGATGACCAGAATAATTAGAATAAGCAAGGAGGAACTCAGTGTGACTGGCTGGTGACGAATCATCGAAACAGGAACCTGTAGCTCAACAAATATGCAGTAGAAGGAAGTGGAGATGGGTTGAGCATGCACTGAGAAGACCATTCGGGGACACCACGCGCCAGGCCAAGTCATCGAGTGGAACCCAGATGGGAAACGACGAGTTGGGTGTCCCAGCTGAGGGTGACATGGAATAGATCGTGTGAGAAAGAAATGAATGATTGTGGGCTGTCGTGGAGTCAGGTTCAAAAGACTGGAGAGAAGAGAATGGAACGGAGACGTGCTACTGAATCCCTATTTTCCACTAGGAACCCAAGGGAAAAGTAATAATATATAATGAGTTGAATACAGTTTTGAATCTTGAGTCTGTAAGTATTTATCAGATAGAATAGTACTCAATTTGGTGGGTTTGTCTTATCGGGAAATTATTTAGGGACAAAATGTTGAAATGAAATGATCCATTTGTATACTGTTTAATGCTTGAAAGTGAATTGTAGTCATTTAAAGGAGCTATCAACGAGATTCTGAACCTGTGCTCTATCAACTTACCCGAGAGATCCAACTGCTGAATGGATTAATGAATATTTTAGTTTTGTGATGGTATTCATCATCCCAGGACCAGACAGAATTCCTCCAGAAGCACTGAAAACAGACGAAGAGACAACAGCGCAGACGCTCACATCGCCATTGGACAAGGTTTTCAAGGAAAGAAGAAACGTAAGGCATCTGTCGATTGAAAGAAGGACTACCCTGACAAACTATCAAGAAATGACGACATAAGGCTTTGCAAGAACCCACGGGGAAACATCATTGTGTCCCCTCTAAATCATCTTCGAGACATGAAAAAAAATGCACCGGCTTCAAAATCACGACCGGAACAGGCTGGTTGCTTTCAGGAAGAACAAATCATGTACAGAGCAAATTGCAACGCCACACTACGCATCATCATACAACACAACAGAACAGAATATAGAGTGACAGTCTACTCTACAAATCAACTTCATCCACTTCGAAAAAGCTTTCAATAGCGTCGATCGACAAGCAGTTTGGTAGGCAGCTGCTTCAATACTACGCTTGTACAGCCACAAATATTTATCAACCTGATTGAACAGCAATTATATGTTATATGAGGATGCTGTGTGCCAAGTGATTCACGATGGAGAGTTGAGTGATGCCTTTGAAGTGAAGTGGAGTGGAGTGAAGTGAAGTGGAGACATGAGTAAGACGAGGTTGCCGTTTACTGTCATCGATGATCTTCGTGAATGTGGTTGACTGGAGTCGACTGTATGAATGAGGAAACTGTGTGGAGCGAGAAGATAGACATAAGCATTTATGTCATATCGCACAAGGTTGAATATGTACAGGCGAAAATTAGGAAGTTGACGAAAGAGGGGTGGCTACGAAGACGGGACTCCCTTCAAGTGAATATAGAGAAGACCAAGATGATGAAGATACCAAACCAACACAACCAACACCATCAACAACAACAACAACAATAAGCTTCAATCATCATCAACGGGAGAAACATACAGGAAGGAAGTAGCCTCCTTCACCTATCAAAGCAGCACCATTTCAAATTCAGGTGGCACAGACGAGGATGTCAAAGTCAGGATCGTGAAAGCAAGAGAGGCGTTCATTATCCTGAAACCAGTGTGGAGATCTTATGCACTGCACTGCATTGCACTGCACTCAGCATGTGGAACAAGATTCGGATTTTGAACACCAGTTGAGTCAAGTCAGTGCTTCTGTATGGTTGAGAGACTTGGCGTGTTACGAAAGGTATTTCCGATGAACTACAGACACTCAATATCAACTGCCTACACTGGCTGGTTAGTGAAGTAGAGATGTCCAGAATAATGAGAATAAGCAACAAGGAACTCTGGGAATGAACCAAACAAGAACGTATCGCTGAGCAAATATGCAGAGGGAAGTGTAGATGGATTGGGTATACTGTGGGAAGGCCGAGTGGGGACATCAGGCATCAGGCCGTCGAGTGGAACCCCGATTGTAAGGAAGGAGTTGGGCGTTTGAGGTGATGGTGACATGGAGGGGATCGTGTGAGGAGGAAATGAGAGGTTGTGGACTGTCGTGAATCCAGGTTGAAACGATTTAATTGAACAGAGTGGAATGGAGACCTGCTACTGAATCCCTATGTTCCATTAGGAACTCAAGGGACAAATGGTATAATAATAAATAGTGATACATTATTTTAGAGAAATCTTTTGATTTTTACTAGAAGTTTCACTGGAATACTTGATCATTTGTTAAACAACACCCATATCTGTGTAACTTGATAGATAACTAAAGGAGAAAATAGAACACAGAACATTCAATAAACATTGGAACGTATAAATGATGAAGACAAATTATAAGATGAAGGAGATTACTGTAACTAATCGGACGTTCATGTACTTCGAGTAACCAATCACGTATTGTGTATTCCTCACTGCTGACTGTATTCTTTCCATCACTATATAGTGTGATTACCAAGCTGCCAAACTAAGGTATCATCAGCGTATGTTGTCCAGTCCTATATAAAGTAAATTTTGAGGTAAATACCTCTTTGTTAATGATATTCACTGAAGTAATAAATGATAAATATGTGTAAGAAAGCCTGAGATGTCACTCTCACTGTGATTACGAAATCTATTCCCACCTAGCTGGTCTTTATGACAACTGTCTTCAATCATCTAACCAAAAGTCACTGAAACCCCAAGTTGATTAGATTGATTCATCATCTCAGAAGTAATAAGAAAGGCTAGAGAATTTAAATAGGCATTGGAAATTATAAATCAACTCTGAGATTGATTTGGATGGTTGATCGTAAAGGGATAATGAGTACTAAACTGTTATTTGATTCAACTTCTGAATTCATTATCTGTGCATTCAACGCTGAAGTTGTTCAATTCGCCTTGATTTCCAGTGACTCACT